TGCAAATGTTCTGGCGGATGTGTGGACATACCAGAAAAGACCGCTTGAGGAATGAAATAATCAGACAAAAGGTGACGGTAGCACCGATAGAAGATAAGATTCAGGAGTCTCGATTGCAGTTGTTTTGTCATGCGCACAGAGTGATGAGCCTATTGGACGACTTGAGATGTGGGGATAAGAGGCGGGAAGGAGAGGAAAGGAAGACTCAAACAAACTTGAATTAGAGGAATCAAAATTGGTATACGTCTTCTTGGGTTGCATAAGAGTATAACTTTGTAAAGAGTAAATTGGAGTGCGTACATTTGTGTAGATAATTGATCTTTTTTCTATCTTTTCACTCGCATTTTCCTTTTATCGTTTATTTTATGTACATTTCTATATTATTACGTTATTTTTATCTTCTATCTTCATTATGTTCTTTTATCTTTTTAGTTTATACTACGTATCTTTCATATATTCTTATGTTATTGTTATTTTATATTTATCTTTATATCTTATTCGATTTTACTTACTTTATTTTTATTTTCTTTCTTCTCTTTTGACTCGGATATCATGGATCGATTCATGTTAGTCGATCCCAAAACTTGTTGGGATTATGGCTTAGGTGTTTTTGTATTTATATTTATCGTTTCTTTATTAAAAATATTTTTCCTTTCACATTGAATCTATATTACTTTTACTCTTTTAGACTTTTAATCAAAACTATTGTGTCAAGAATACTTTGGATAATGGACATTCAGTTTTTCACTTTCTGTCACTTATTTTAATTATTGTGAGATGGGCAATTGTATCATAAAGGATTTAAAGTAGAAAAAATCAAGTAAAATAAATAAGTATCAGTCTGTTTTTTATACCTTTGTAATTTCACTTTGTTAGCCGTCTAAAAAACATTATCATTTCTTCTTTTAAGAAATTTACTATTATTTTTCTCATATTTAAATCAAACCATTTTTACACACAAAAAATTCCACATAAATTAGCATATTTAACTGATTGTTAATCAAAATATAATTTCTTATTTTGTTACTGTTTTTGATTTTTTTTTATTTTGCTATAGTAAATTAACACAAAATTCAATAATACGATAGTATATTTTATAAATATGAATTTTCATGAGTTGATGAATAAAACATGATCAAATTGAGTATTAAATGGGTATTTTTAATACTCAATTTATTATTATGGACATCATTGCTAACTCGGAATATTTTTATAAACACTATCAATAAAAATTATTATTGTAAAATCTCTAAAAGCATGAATTATTTTCAGGAATTTCGCCAAATAATAATGAGTCTTATTCATGAATAATTTTTGTCACTTTAATTATGATCTCGTGAATAAGTATTATATCATTCTAATTGTGATTTACTTTTTGATTAACTAGTATGTGCACCCGTGCAACGCACGGTAAGAGTTGTCGTGGTTAAATTTATCTCATCAATAATATAAAAATGCAAAGTAAAATTTAAAGAAGAAGAAAAGAAAAATACACAAAATGGATAAACGCCCCGGTTTCATGTCACATATTTTAGTTTTTCTTTATCATGGTCTACGTTACAGGGGCGTTTTTGAACATGTTAAATCGGTTTTACATGTCAGTGCCCACCAATTCAAGGGGCCTCAGTTCTTTAGAAATTATTAGTATTATACAGTGGTATTATATAATAATATTTGGAAAAATACACTTCGTAATAAAGAAGAATACATATCCTCCAGTATTTGTTTGTTTGTCTTTGTAGTCTTTTTTTACTCGCATCGCTTGAGTAAGAGTTTTGTTGCTATAGTTTAAGTATTAAATATTTTTTAGATTCTTTTATATCAATTCTGTCATTTAAGCTTGAGTAATGAGTTGTACGTGTTGCTATATACCGATTCTGCCATTTAATCTGTTTTGTTGACCTATTATAGCTGATTATTTTTTGAAATAAAAAAAACTAAGAAATTTGTTGAAACTCGAACAAAACTGGAAAAAAAAGTAAAAAAAAATTAAGGATGCCAAAAACGGTATTTTTGTACTTGGAGTTATATGTATATTCTACATTTTTAAAACCTTTACAATTTGATTTTATATTTTTTTACATTTCCTTTTTTCATAGTTTTTTTTTATATTTCTTTTTTTGAAGGTTTTTAAATTATTTATCGATTTTGATATTTATTATAAATTTAATTGAGTATTATAAACATATCAATTATCTTACTTTTTAAAAATAATCTCCAACAGTTGGTTAAAATGACTTGATTGATTTTGTTTCCAAAGTCAACATACTCATATGATACCCTTTACTATTTATCTATAATTAGGAGTATTGGTCATTTTAAAAGTGGGTGAAGGTGTATGATATATTCAATAACTAATTCATTTCTACTTTGTAGATCGTAGTATGAAAATGTTAATCCTTTCCGATGTATCTAAAAGGTATGTAGATGTTAAAATTATTTTAACAACACTTTGAAGTATGTGTCTAAGCAAGAATTGTTTTAATGTATAGGGGTTTTTAGTACTTTTTATGAATGCTTATAAATGTTGTATATACATGTGTGTGTCTATGTTGTGTTGTTGGGCACGTTAGAATGTTAGATAATGCTATATATGAATAGGGAGTAGACTTTGCTATAGTGTTGACACATGTCAAATTTTCCAATAAAGAGTGTTGCCACATGTCAATAATTTTTACAAAGAACTTCCTATAGGTTTGCTTTATTATATTATACTCCCTCCGTCCCTATATAAAAGTATACATTCGTTTTCCACACATTTTAAGAAAGTGGGTTTGGTTGGTACTGTTTGGCACTGTTTGGCACTGTTTTACACTGTTTTGCACTGTTTTGTTTGCCAAAAAAGGAAAGAGAACTTTTATTTAAGGACGGTCCGAAAAGGAAACAGATGCTTTTATTTAGGGACAGAAGGAGTATAGATTTTAGATTACATCTATCCCACAAAATATGTTTCTTAATAATCTGTTATTGTTTAGGGCACACTACTTGGAAAATTATTTGCGTTTAATCAAAGTGGAGTTTCTTGGGCACCATAAAGTCTTTCAAACAAGTCTTTTGTTTGGTGAGTGCCTAAATTTCAAATATTTAAAGCACATATTTGTACTCCATCCATCACGCTAGAAGGTTCCCGTGAACGGTTTACTATATTTAACTGACGATAAAGCAATTTAATCTCTGTTCACACTCTGATTATTTTTAGTAAATAAAATTAACATATTCAGAAACTGCATTAAAATCACTACAAAGCCTGATAAAAAATGTAGATTTGGTAAAAAATTGATTTATAAAGTAAATAATTAAAAATGATTTAAGTTGACCATGAGAATACTGGACGAGAACCTTCTAGTAGGACGGAGGGAGTACTAAGTACTAGTATATTTTTATACTAGTATTAATTACATTCATAGCTTTTGACTTTAAAGGTAGATGTTCCTGTTGTAATATCGGACACTTGCCAAAAACAACCAAGTCTGTAGCAAATGGAGACCTAATTAAATAAAGTGGTAGGTGAACAATAAAAAAAAAATTGTACTACATACTACGTACCTATCTCTAAATTTATAAGCGAGCAATAGACAAGTACAAAGGAGTCACCAACCGAAGGTTGAGTTTTTAGGGGCTTAATTAGGGAATTTTGGGCATAACTAGGGAGTTTTTTGTGGTTGCTTCTATTACAAAGTGATTTTTAAAATAATTGTAGCGAAAATATTTAATATAAAAGTTTAAGAAAAAGATAATTTGCTGTCAAAAAAAAAGAAAAAATAATTTTGAAAAAAGAAAATTGATAATGTTTAATAAAAAATATTTTGTTTAATTGAAATTTGAAAGGGTGAAAACACTTTAAAGCACCCACAGTGCCCGCATGTTTCCAACTTTTAGTTTTAAGGGATGTATAGTATATGTATTGTGGTAGATTTTTTTTAATCTTTGGAGTTTAAAATGGGAGTTCTACAAGAATACATCACGTCTAAGCATCCAAATTTACTTTAATCGGAAAACTCAAAATTGAGTGGATGACTCGCAAACCATTTCTGGTTATGACTATTACATTCACCGATACATATGGTATGAGCAGAGATGTAAATATTTATTGGTTTAATGTTATAGTTTTAGGTGTTAGCGCTTTAACAATTAAACATTGATTGTTACATTCAATATAATACACCTAAACTTTAAAATTCCTAAGATTTTAAAAGTTTGCCACTAGTTCATTGTACAATACACCCCCTTAAAATATTTAATATAAGCGGAAGTTGAAACTTGAAACCAATTTCATCTTTTTAAGCATAAGGATGTTTGTACTTGTACTGAAATTTTCTTGTGTGAATTTCTCTGGTCTGATCTGTTCTAGTTTAATTTGATATGGTCCGATCTATTCTGGTAATGTCTGATCATTGTCTATTTTATAACAGTTAAAGTTTGGTCTGGTCTGATCAGGTCTGAATTGGTCTGGTCTACTATGAGACTGAAATAAACTCAATAAAACATCCTAAAACAGAATATAACTTTTTAATATGTTGAACTCCCTTTATAAGCATTTGCAAATAGGTGATTACTATGTACCCGATAAGGAGGATGTTTTACTTGGACTTATTTCAGTCTCACACCATACCAGACCAGACTTCGACAATTGTAAAATACACAGAGATCGAATACCTACCAGACCAAACCAAACTAGAGCAATTCTGACCAAACCAGACCAGAAAATTCCAATCCATATGAAAACGTCCTAATAAGTTAAGATTTAAAAGAATACTACTTAATATTGCATGAAAAGGGCCGCTTATATAAAAGAATAAAAGTAGTTAATAATTCATCTTTCATGAGCAAATAAAACCCCAATTTTCATGAAAACAATGAGAGTTATATTCAAAGAAATGTATTGCATTCTATAACCATTTATGGAAAATCCATTTTTTATTTGGTTTTGCTTGGAAAGTACAAAACAATATCAACATGATTAAAAAAATCAATGCCCACACTATTAGGTACAATTTTGGCAAAAAATATGGCATTCACAACACTACTTAAGAGTTAAATGTCATAGTTGTTATCCTTTGCATCTGAGTACACCTGTATACAGTTCAGGGCAGTGTTATGGATGTTGGCATATATTTGATGCATTCTGGTCATTGAATTACATGGAAAATGTATTGAGCATATAACAACAACAACAACCAAACCTTATTCCCAATAGATTTTGGAGTCGGCTTACATGAATCATTCCATGATATCGGAGCAAAAAAGACATTGAGTATTGTAATAAAATTCAACTTTGGATGTTTCATGTGCCTATGGAGAAGGATAAAGCATAGTGCTTTGTTGCCAAAAAACGGGCGCAAGTGCACAAGCCAAAGCCGGAGGAACTGCTGGTGATGAAATTTGGTGTACAAATGCATGGCTCTTTCAATGCCCAAGCTTGTGGTCAGCAGAATAACCACAACAAGTAGCATATGGGTTACTGAATGCTTTTTCTTCAAAAAATAACTACGGGTTTCACTGTTTAAGCACCCTTTACGGCTTTACCAAACGGGGCCTTTACATTTCGTTTTCTTAATTTTAAATCTTCATTTCCTCATGTGGAGTTTTATGTACGAGTTTTTGTTCCTTGGTTTCTTATGGGAAGAAATTGTTCGAATCTGTCTTTGATTCCAGTATTTTTGTAGTTCAAAGCAATGGTGGAAAATAAGGAAGATTGGAAGCTGAAAACACTTCACATTTATACACAGCTATTGAAAACTTCAGGCTCGTAAAATTTGTTACTGTCTTGCTGATTCTATGTTACAATTAGATTGATTGGTGTCATTAATATTAATACAAGCATCTACCTGCAGCAGCTTGTCACAATGGTTGACACGTTCAAATCTCTGCCGTCTTTCCACTGCATCTTTAACCTTCAGATCAAATTCTTCATCTGTGCTTGCCAGCATATGTTTCAGCTTAAAATTTATATTGTTCGCTACCAGGACTTTATGTCTTGGGATTATTCTTTTATCAAGGGAATAGCTGAAATACCTGCAAGAGATTCGAAAAAGTCAAGCTTTATAAAATCTACTCCGCATAATATATAAAAAAAAACATTTCTGATACAAGTGATCAGTTAGGTAAATTCGATAGAGTTAACCCAATCTGGTTCTCAAGTTTTTTTGAATTCAGTTCAGTCCTCAAATTTCTTCTGGATCCAACTTGATAATTGATTGCAAATAAAACCAGACTCAATTGGTCTTTATGCATATTGGGTCTTAATTAAGATGAGATTTTCATAAGGTGAGTAAATTTCATCCAAATTACATTATTGAGGACCATATTGAATTGGGTCTAAATTTAGCTGACTAACAGAAATACTTTTCTTACTCAGAATGGGAGTGGACTTGAAATCCCAATACCCATTCAGGATCAAAACCAGATCAGGATTGTTACTCGATACCAGACTGATATTGGAGTGCATACTCAGAACCGGTACTGTTAAACCGGATGGGTCCCTGTAAACTAGAACTTAAACTGGTCGGTTCCCCCACCCCAGTTTTTGCTTTAACATCCGGGCCAAAACTGTTAAGAACCATACTGGAAACGAAGCCAGAACTGTTAAGAAGGTGGATTTCCGGTGACTACACATGGGCAACCCGAAACAAGGTTTTGTCCACCCCTACTACCTAGTTTAGAGTCGAATGGGATGCAGATTAAATTGGGTCAAATTTTCATTGTAGATACAACAACAACAACAGCAACAACAAAAATTCATAGTAGATGTCGAATTAAAATCATTGTTAAACTTTTCCGTTCACAACGCAATTACCTTGGGAATTCAATTAGATCCCTGAGAGGGCGAACCATGGTTCTCCGCAAGTATTGGTATTTAGGGCGAAGAACTTCAATATTGTACTGAAGAATCAATGGAAAGTCAGCAATCATATCACCCAATTGCCAGAAAGGTATGCCGAGTGACAAAAAGTACTTCACGTTAAGATCCAATTTATGTGTGATGTTGCATCCCAATAGCTTCGGCGCTAAGGCTAATACCTTCCCAATATTTCTCTGGGAGACTCCAGCTTTTGTCAAGAGGAATATAACCTTTAGTCACACATATTTGTGCAATACAAACTTGTTACTGATGGATCTATCATTATGTGATTCAATCCAATAGAAAACACAGCAAAACAGAGGAATGGACAAACCGTTGGGCGTATTTTCTTCTCGAGACTATATGTCATTATCCGCGGGAACTGGACAAGCACGTCTCCGATGGCATCTTCCTGGACTCCAATATCTCTCAAAAACTGGACCTGCACATTAAGGGTTTGTTTAGAGCTCGGGAAACATCGTTGGGGGTAAACATTTGTTCTAGCTCAAGAAATTCATTTTTGTAATTTTTCTCAATTGTATTTACTTATTTTTATGAAAAGACTAAAATACCTAATAAAACATTATGATTAAAAAAGAATTATTATTTTTTTCAATATCCATGATCCAAACATATTGACAAGTGAGATAATAAAATTGGAAAATGCTAGCAACAAATGATTATACCTTAGGCACAATGGTGTTCTCCAAGTCAATGCAGAACACTATTGGCGTTGTGACTAGAATTTTTCTCATTCCTTCTTTAGAAATCCCAAGGTAGTAGAAGAACTTCACAAGAGGTTTCAACTTCTCCTCGATGCTACAACCCATCAAATGTGGTTTGAATGCAATTAATCTACCAACATCCTCGTTACTAAGGCCAAACTCCTTTAGATTTGCAACCTGCTTGGAATTGTTTGCTTCAACATTAAAAAGGAAATATCCCAAGTGCCGCAGAACTTCATCTTAAGAAAATGTTTGGAACAATGAAAAAGGTATGGAAAGGTAAAAAAAAACTATCAAGGCAAAGACTTTCTTTTCAAGAGATTACAGCAAATAGGAGTAAACATCATGTGCACAACAAAAGCAACCTTACACTGTGCTAAAAATAGGACTCACTTAGCCTAATAAAATAAAGTAGTTAACAATTATTCTTTCATGAGTGAACCGATTTTAATGAAAAACCATGATGGTTGTATTCAAAGATATATGTTATGTTCTTGTCCCCATTGTGGGTTTTCCTTTTTTTGTTATGGCTTGGAAAATAAAAAAATAAAAATCAGCGTGCTTCAAGCTTCTCAACTTTTTACATAAACTCAATTTTTAGTTTTCATATAACTGGCGAAATATATAAACAAATAAGTTTGAACAAATATCTAACAACATTAGATTGAGTTTGGACAAATTCTTTCTACCCCCCCCCCCCCCCCTCCCTCCATATTATCATTCCATCCATATTCCCATATATTTTCTTCTATGTTTTCTTTGGCTGGGAAAGTCTTAGCAGTAAATGTTAAGAGAAGAGAGCTCAACAAATGTGTACCTTTTGGTTCATCTCTTCCATACTTAAGTAGCCAATCACCTTAGGATAGTCAAAAACCATAGTCCCAAAATCCTTCTCATTCATTCCAAAATTCAGATAGAATTCAGTACGAGTTTTTAGTTCTTCCATGCTAAATGACAATATTTCAGGGCACCTGCTGATAATATAGCCCATCCAGTCCCTCCGCACTCCATTCTTTTCCAAATACTCAATATTGTCATTCAATTCATCAAAATTTCGGTTAAAAACATTACCCCCTGATCTCAGCATTGCAACTGCTATGAATTTTCCCTTCACGTGAACTGAACTTAACCACTCAACAAGCCTCCTTATATGCATGACATCTCCTCTTGATTTACAGATAATGTTCCCGATTTGAAGAAATGATAACTCATTTTGTTTCAACCACCTATACAGTCGGTCCAGGGTAAATTGCAGTGACATTATGAGAACCCACCAAAACTACAGAACAAACTTATATAATGATTAAAATCTTAGGGTCCTATAAAGAAATAGGGAGGATCATTTCAGATATCTGTTCATATTCTTTTATATTTACTTATAATTACATATATATGTAGTACTGTATTACTTAAATAAAGATGGTGGACAAAAATGTGACCTCTTATATGTAGTGACTAGCGACTACAACAGCAACAACAACATCCAAGCCTTAATCCCAAAAGAATTCAGGGTCGGCTAACATGAATCAATCTATGATATCAAAACCAAATAGAGAAGACGGACAAGAAGGGGAAAAAAGTAAGATAAAACGGATAAAATAAAGATAAATAAATATAAGATAACAATAACATAAGAACATAAGATAAATAAATACCACTTTCCTCCTTTATCCTGGTTTGGGACAGGCATGATACCAAAAAATGATCTCATGGCGGAGTTCTTATATGTAGTGACTATATTAAGAAATTTTGGTTACTAAATTTATGTTCAGTTTTACAACGGAGTGTATATGAATTATGATGTTACAGTCCAAGTAACTTTAGTCGAATTTTTGTCCATGAGTTTCATTGTAGTGGGAAAACCCCTTTTTAAAAACTTATTTATTTTGGTTTAAAAACTTATTTATTTATTTAGTTGACATTTACATATAAATACCAACAAATCTAAACTTATGTAAACTTTTGATTACACAAACTAAACACTTTTGTTTAGTACTGTTGCATTTTTCAAGGGCAAACCAAAACTTAAAAAACTTATTTTTCTTGGCATTTTTTCGTTTCCCTAGCATTTCCTCGGTCCAAACGTACCCTTAGTGTATATAGTACGAAGTATGGCAAATGTACCTTATCAATGGCACGACTTCGGAATCATCTATGAATGCCCTAGCTCGATGATTGAAAGATGAATGTGAGAATTCAGGCATTTGCTTCATTGAAGCAGCCTGGATCATCACATGATCTATGTAATCAGGCAATCTGGACACCAAATTTCTCGCATAAGTGATCCCGAACTTCCTCTTTTTCATCGCCTCCATGAAAATTTCAGTGGTGACTTTTCTGCGTATTTCTAGGGCTTTAATAAGCATGTCTTCTTCTTCATTGCCACTTCTGTCATCAACCAAGGCCTGGATAGGCGATGATGAGGCATGAAAATCCGTAATTGAGCCTGGGAATTGAGGAGTTCTTTTTTTCACCAGTGACATTTCTAGAAGCTCCACTTTATCCTCTAAAGAAGACCCTCCAGTCTCCGCCACCGCCGTGAATCGAGGCGGCGGTTCATAGTGTGAGTTGTGCTTGACCCATAGGGAGTGAAGGAGCATGGCGGTGGATTTGGAATTGTGCTTTCGAGTAATAACAACTTCATCTTTTGAGGTAGTCTTGCTTTCGGCCTTCTGGTGATTTTCTTGGTGGTGGTTGGATGAGGATACCAGAAAGAGGCGACGGCGTTTGCAGGCGGGGGCAGAAAGGTTGACTGGCGCCTGAAAGCTGGAGTAATTGTGGTCTTGGAGGCATAGAGTGGCGGAGAGGGTATGGAGCTGAAGCTGACCTAACATCTATCGAATTTCGATGGAATTGCTGTTGAGGATAACTGATAACAGTAAACACTTGCAGCAATTTTGTCCACTGGGCATCTCAACTCAAGTCATGTTCCCTTCACCAAGAAGATCGATGGAATCATTGTCTTTCATGTGATCATAGGACTGGATTTCGAGCAATTCGAGCAATTAGATTAGGGGTGTCCAAAATCTATTTAGAATTTTAAAGCAATTAGATTAGGGTGTCCAAAATCCTTTAAAATTTGTGTGTCGTCAATTATTCCATTGATTTGTTTCTCTTGTATTTCACCTGATTTGTATTCTTAGGGATTTTAAAGTAATTTAGAATTCCATCAAAATCTATTTGTTCTCAACTTGGATTTTCAAAACTCCTTTAAAATCTGTGTGTCCTCAATTATTCCATTGATTTGTTTCTCTTGTATTTCAGCTGATTTTAATAGATTTGGTATGAAAAATAACACTAATACAATTCCACCAATTCTCTTTGTGTCACCTTTCTGATTTGAAATCCACCCTACCAGTTTGTACGCCTCTTATGAATTCTCTCTCCAACCTCCCCTTCTTTCTTCTGCCCCAGCCTGCACTACCCAGCTACCTCTCCAGTTCATTCTTCTTCTTCAGCCGACCCCACGCTCCCGGCTCCCCTTCTCAAATCCTCCTCCTCCTCATTTGTAGCCACCTACCCTCTCAGTCCACACATTTGTTCACCGCCTCAAACCTAAAGCCACTTCCGATCCATCTCCTACCCATCTTTATAGCACTGCAGCTTTCATGGCAGCTTTAGGAGATGACCATGTTCTTCCTCTTCAGAGAACTTTTTATCCCCTGCAGGTAGTTCATTCTGTTTGGTCTATGCACATACTTCTTCTTTCCCTTCAAACCCTACCAAATTCGATGGAAATCCATATGATTCATTTCCATAGAATTTCATAGAACTCCATATGAATCTCATGGAATCTGTAGAATTCCATTAAAATCCATAGAATCTACAATCCTGTAAAATCATTTAAAATCTGTGTTGGGGACACCCCCTTAACCGATAATAGTACACTTGAAGCAATTCGAGCAATTAACATTTAATCATGGGAGTATTTTTCAAATTTGACAGTAATTACTCATATTTTAGCAATAAAAGCACGACAATCATATTTTAGAATTCTCAAACTTTTTTACTCGGGGAAATGGTCAATTGAGTACATCAACTTGCATGAAGTGGGGTAAAAAGTACACTATATTGCATCAGATATTTCTAAGTACACAAACTCAGTTTTTTATTGTTAATTGAGTGCACCTGGTAGATTAACATGTTAATTTTGTCTGAGTTGGTTTACAAAATGCTAATAGGTCGATTTCTTGAAGGTCGACACCATAATTGTGGCCTTTCACCCCTTCTTACTTAGTATTAAGTTAGCCAATTCAACTACATTAACGTTTTAAACTTTCGAGTGTACATCAAGTTCTAAGGAGCCAGTAAGTATTGCGTTGATTATTCTGAAAGTCATTGTATACAACTTACAACTTAGATGCCTACTTCAAATTAAACAAAGAAAACTAAGATTACATCCAAAATCTTCACTTCAAACGCACTTCAGTATTTGTTTCAATATTAAAGCACTTTTGGAACATATTGCACAGTAAAAACAATATAGAAAAGGATGACATCCCATCTCAGGGTCTCTCAGAACCAATCGGTAAGATTGTGATGTTGGGATTAAAAGATTACTTTATGTAGCCTCACTATTAGGAACATTAACTGTTGTGAACAATAATAATATCATAATTGACATTTCATCTACTTGTATGACTCCCTCCGCCACAGTTTTAATTGACGTTTGGGAAAAGTAAAATTGTTTTTGCATATTGATTTAGAAGCATCAAAGTAAACACCAAAAAACTAACCACGAAGAAAGTTTTGGATAAAAAAATATGGATTTCCTAATGAGATAGTTTTAGATAAAAGATGCAAAAACCACAACAAAATAAAAATCACTCTTGGCCAGTGGGTGGGATAGAAATAAAATTCAAAAAGAAAAGTTAGAATGTTTTAACAATAAATTAGAACTGTCTTTTGGAATTGTTTTCGAACTTTAAAAATGCCGGATGCAACACACTGAGCATCCCCCAAATGGAAATAATATTGAAAAAATTGAAAAAGTCCATTGATACACTACTGACAATTTGTCAAACATGTCCCTAATAAAACAAAAAAGGGCATGGAAGTAGTTTTATGAGCAACTAAACTATCAAACCTCACATGTTTTGCATCTTTTATCACACATAAACTATAAAGGGTCATCGCTAGCATACCAATCATTTCTAGGTGAAAAAGAAGAAGATGAGAAAAGGAAGAAGAAAAATGTAGTTTGATGTGTGTTTGCTTGAAAGAGGAAACTCTTCAGGGTAATGATAAAAAGACCTAAAAATTAAATCTTCGTTAAAAAAATCATAAATGGTCAGGATGAAATCATGTGTGGGTCAGAGTACCTTTATAGATGCAGAAGACTACCTCAAATTTCTGACACACCCAAAGCAAGTGCAAGTTGAGAGTTTTTTGTTTGACGTCTGAAAAGTACAGAATGCATCAATACAATGACGAAGTCAAACTAGCTTGGATGCATCATCATCATCATCATTACCCCAATGACGCAAAGGCTCTCACCTACAGCGGGGTAAAGGGGGTCGGATGTATGCAGTCTTACCCCTGTACTACAGCACAGAGAGACTGTTTCCAGATGACCCATAGTGAAAATCACGTCTAAAATTGCATAAACTGACTGCTGCTTCACAACAAAGAAGTGCACACAGTTTTGTGAGCCATGTTGCTTTATTCCATCATATTCTCAAGCCAAAAAATAGTGAATCTTTGGATCCATTGCAAATGATGAAAAAAAATAGCTTGGATGCATCTGTAACTTTAAATTGAAGTTAGAAATATAAATATTTTACACTACTCATTCAAGCAATGAACTTTTTGAGAGGGCAGAAAACCATCTTTTGAGTAACCTGGATAAACTGAAAAAATGTAATACTACAAAAGTTAATATTGGAAAAACTGAAAAAGTACATAGATAAACTACTGACAATTTGTCAAACATGTCCCTAATAATAAAAAAAAGCAGGGAAGTAATTTAATGAGCAACTAAATTATGAAAACCTCACATGTTTACATCATGTTAGATGTATAACTGTAAGATGTCTCTTAATGTAAAATGTTTACAATGTTATTTCAGCAAATGAATAATTGTAAATATTTATTTTCCCCAAAAACTTTTACGAATAGTGGCCATGAGACGCAACTCATCACTGGAATAGTTATTAAGTAACAGAACAATATTGAGGACGAACTGGTAACTTATCCACCTTTTTTATTGCTACTTAATAGCAATTAAGTAGCTATTATACTTACTTTGGAGGATAAGGACATTTGGTAATAGGTTCTTATATCAAGGCTCCTGCAATGCACACACAAGATTGACATATAGTTTTGTTATTTGAGAATGGCCAACATGCTTTAATGAAGTAAAAACATAACAATTAGAAAAAGTGACACACGAAAAATAAAAACAGAACATTCAATGTGGTCATCTGCATGACACACTAAGAATGAAATCTAAAGACCATTTAACTCTTTTTGCTTCTTTAACCTTTTAGCTGAATAAGGGTGTGAAGTAATTTATAAATTCATCTTACATGTATTTCACACCAACTTCCTGTAAAATGGTGAAAAGGTCCATTTTAAGAACAAATTAATATTATTAAGTCAATGACTATAAACTTACTTAAGATTAGATGGAACGGGGCATGTTGAGTGACAAAAAGAGTCCAAATCTGCAAATAAAGAGTTAATTAAGGAGAGATTATTATCATCTTGTGGGATAAAATGTTCGGAAATATTTAGTTTGAAAAATCATATTTGGGTTTTAATTAATATCTAATGAGTATAGAAGTCAAAAGCAAAGTAAGCTCAACCTGTATGTTTCCAACACAGAAGGAAGAAAATTTGAACCAAATATAGTCCACATGGGGATATAGAAAAATTCAAACTGTAGACATTAGCAGATGCCTATAATTGACTAAACTGACTAAAGTAGAAAACATTTGAGTGGATTGAAAACATGAATCGGCTACATTTGTCTAAAGTCACTAAAAACCACAAGCATTGTTCTTTCTCTGCTATTTTCCCGATATGAACATTTCATTGAACATCTTATATGCTTTGGTAGACCTAAAACTCATGTAGAAACTGAGCAAAATAGGAGCTACTATAATTTAGATTTTCCGTCCACTTTAATAACCACATAGGTCACTTCTTCATACAATGAATTCATTTATCTATTTCAAATAGTCTGATTATTTTTTCAGAAGAATTTCAAGCTATTACTTTCTTTTTGCACGGTTTGATTCATACACGGCTTTCGTGAATGAAACTGGATCCAGGCATACTAATCCCGTATTAGGTAGACTAATATGGGAGGCTTAACAGCTGGGTTATTGTTTCAATTCAATATCAAGTAAACTAATTACAAATTACAATTTAGTATTTAACTATCATTGTGTATTATATTGAAGCAGACTAATGCCCTTCTTAGGGTATTAATGCTCAGGTATCAAGCAAGTTTTGGATATCTCAACCTAAGCTCATGTAGTTTCATGTTGGATATAAACATCTCCACATTATTGCTAAGTATAAGACTCTGGTTATAGAAGGGCACCGAAAACTATAAACTAACATTGCTAACATATCAAACATTTCAACATGAAGAAGAATATGTGAAAAGGAATAAGACAAAAGTAATTTGATGTGCATTATATATAGCAAGCCAAGATGCATATCCCAATTTCAGTCAATCTGATTTGGAATTTTCCGAGAAGAAAATGCTAGATATTCTGGTTTGTCTATTGAAAATAAAAATACACCCTCCTTTCCAACGTGAGGATAGAGTTTGGTTTATGTTTTTCTAGAACTACAGTTTAAAATCTATTCTATCTGCCAGAATCTATGAAGAGAATTCTGCATTTTTCTTCTTTTGCATAAACTATGTTATGAATTTGATTTTTTATTAAAGTTATGGCAGCTAATTTTAAGTTTTGAGTAAGTGAATAGTAGAAAAAGAGCCAACTGAGTCTTTGTTGTTATTCTTATTGAAGATTTGGCCTATTCAAGTTTTTGGTCTATTACTATTAA